AGGAAATATCAGGTTTCCAACTTTCCGACGACTCTTTCTCCCCTCCCGGACTTTCCTCATCCGATTTGCAGGAGAACTTCACTGGAAACCAGGAAAACACTCGCTGGTGGGAGCGTACTTCCAGGATCATTGGAAGCTGCAGGACGGTTATAGTTCACTCTTAGTTCACCCTTTTGGCCTGATTTGTAAGCACGATGTCTTTGTTCAAATAAACGCGTAGAATTTCGTAACTTCGGTCTCTGTGTGAGTCTCTTTGCGTCCTGCAAACCACTACCCCATACGGAAAAAGGCTTTCTCGCGTCATCATGACGACATTCGCTGGAAAAGCGAGCGTGTTCACCTTTAACTGAAAGGTCAACACCTCCTCACCTCGCAGACCCACAAGTGGTGCCCACAGTGATGTCTACAACACTTCAAACCCCACATTTTTATAAAACTCATTTGCAACAAATTCAATTAATTTTACAATTTTTTTCATATTGCAGACCTATAAATTCCCACTGTCGTCCGTCCTTAATTTCGAGAACGGAGTTAAATGAAAGATGAGACCAGATACTGAAACCTTTGGGGGCAGGAGGCCCCGATTAACTATATACTAACTTCCCATGCAAACCGGAAGTCACGTTATTTCAATTCAAAAATTTTCCCTGAAAGACGTTAGATAACCGGCACGACTCTATTGTTAAAGGAAAAGTATGATGTACAGGAACAAGAGCTACTAAAAAATTGAGAACACTGTGACAAAAAATTGCAGCCAGGCATTGTGACATTGTCACAATAAATAATTGCTCGTTCTCGTTTTAAAATTTGACTCCTTTTTGGCATTTCCTCGAAAAATTGGTTACTTCATTTAAAAAAGTTACCTGGAAAATTCGAATACAGTTCATTGTACACGTTCTCTGACGGAAAAATTGTGACAGCGACAATACTGCATTATAGTAACCATAAGGAAGCGAAAAACGAGGCTGTTCCCGGAAATAGGGGGACGGATGGTCACAGTGCCGGCCCGAGACAAGTCTTAGGATGGAGCGAGATCCTATTATGGCGCCCCTTGGTTTCCCCTAATTTATACCCTTTAATTTTCTTTACCACTAAGGCGCCCCCTAGGACTTAGCGCCTGTAGCGGCTGCTCCGTTCGCCCTATGGTAGGGCCGGCTCTGAATGGTCACCCTATCTAAGCAACAGAGCCGGTACATTTACTTATACAATGTTGCTACATAGCCAACAAATGAAATACTGTAATAATTTTCAAAAATTTAGCACATTTGTCAGATTTAAATGTAAGTGATTACGATTTAACTAATAACGGTTGGGAATCGCTGCTCTAGAATCATCAAATTTTAAGGAACTTTCCAATGTCAAACACTTTTAAAGCAATTCTGCTGAAGTAATTTTTTGTAATTCATATACTGTATAATTAAAAGAAAACCAAACTTTTCATTAATATGTTTGAATTTTTCATCTACAGATGTAATCAATAACTGAAAAATAAAAATCTACCTTTAATTGCTTTTTTAGTCATATTTCTGAGAATACGTAAATTAAATTAAAATACTAGAGAGGTTGCAGCCGAAGTTTTCATCTCAAACGTGAACGTCGAACGTTTAGCGCCGCCATCTTGTAAGCCTAGAAGTTTGCCAATGGTGTTTGGAACGTCACTGGAATCATGCTCGACGTCCAAACGCCATTCTCAAACATCTAGGCTTACAAGATGGAGGCGCTAAACGTTCGACGTTCACGTTTTAGAGATGAAAACTTAGGCCGCAACCTCTCTACTATATATACAACCAACCCTCGGATTTCGAACAATTCGGTTTACGAACAAAATTTTGAAGGCCGGATGGCCGAGCGGCCAAGGTGGCAGCTATGGGGGACCCGGGTTCGAATCCGAAACGGTCGTAAAATCCCCAGGAATTTTTCGGAGGGTCCGTTCGGATATGTCGGGCCCCGTCCCTCACCACCCGGCAGCCCCATTGTGGCCCTGGCCAAACCCATAATGGGCCTGTTTTAAGAAGCCCTCTTACTGCCCACAGGGCAGAAAGAGTTAAAAGAAAACTAATAACTACGCGATCAGTTGAAAAGTACGGACATTTCATTTTTTATAAGTATGGTATGAACACGGACAGAGCCTTTAAAGTACGGACGTATAGTAACCCTAGCATACCGACGGCCGAATGGCCGAGCGGTCAAGGTGGCAGCCTACCGCTCTGGGGGACCCGGAATCGAATCCGAACGGGTCAAGGAATCCCCAGGAATTTTTCACGAGTGATCCATTCGGATATGTCGGGCCCCGTCCCTCACCACCCGGTCGCCCCGAACCCACAACGGGCCTGCTATAAGAGGCCCTCTTAGTGCCCACAGGGCGGAAAGAGTATTAAAAAAACCCTGGCATACGAAGCCAAGAAAGGTCACCTTTAGGCTAAGAATTAATGTTAAGGAAAAATTTTTGTAAATATTGTCATCGGTTTTTTTTTGTATTAATCGCGATAATTTTTGTAATTCTCATACCAACGAACGGCTTGTTCTTAAATTAACAACCCCTAGAGTTGTAATTCCTCTGTATCTACATTATTATTACGCGTAATAAATTCAAATTCATTTTTCCATATACTTTTTTCTGGGTGCTCTCGTCGGTTAACGAAATCCTTTCATAATGTCACTTTGAAAAACTAGATTTATATATTTTTAAACATCAAAACGTAATAACTGATATGCTAAAGTTTGAAGAACCGTCCACATGAGTTGACAAGTCAACCCGGTCTTGGGTTCGTGCCCGCCACCACGCTGGTACACGCTACGACCAGAGAGCAGACATCAACAAACGGCCCTCCAGCCAATTTGCTGATGTCTGCTCCAGGTGCCATGGTGGCAGCAGCCACATTCCCAAAACATAGCCATAATGACTTAACTCGAAGGCCAAGCTAGGCCTGAGCATGCGGACTATAGGCCTCGGCAGGGCGCCGAATGCTTCCCAGGCCCTAGAGCCCAGGAATTAGTCAGCTTACAGGTACACAAACCCTGAACCTGGACCTTAGCCAAAAGACCAAGAACAGCAGAATCGAACATTTATGACCGTGACATTTTCAGTACATTCCTAATCAATTCCAACTAATCTCATTACGGATCGGACTCGCATGCAGTGGCGTAGCGTGGGTGTCAGCCGCACGGGGTCGAGGAAAATTTCGCATCCTATTTAAGTATCTCAATTTAAAAGACTAAAATTCAGTTTCGTCGCAGAATAAGTAATGAAAAATTTCGTGCTAGTGTTGCCACCTTATTAAAATCGCTGACCCGGACGGCAGATGAGGTTTGTTCTAATAGAAGTTCCTGACGCATGCGTAAGTCATTTTGCAATGCAAAGAATAATGTGCAGTGCATGCTGGTTCTAAATCAGTTACAGTTAGCGACAAGGGAGACTTGGATAGGAGTGATGCAAGTGACCTAGCTGTATTGGATATTGGAGGTGTATATATATATACGAATAAATCGTACAAGCAAAAAAAAAAGGTCAACTAGTTGCGCAGGATATCGCCGGACGCGAGTCGATTCCCGGACTATCCAGATGGATGGTAACACTATTCCGTACTCATTTCAACCGATCCGCGTCGTAGGTGGACGAAAATATGAAATAAAATGGTTCAAATTCTTACAAGATATTATTATTATTTATTGTGAAATTTTGCCGCCCTCTAAAACGTAATTTTGCCGCCCCCTAAGAAGTGCCGCCCGGGGCGGGCCGCCCCTGCCGCCCCCACTACCAGTGCTGTGCGATGTCTATAATTTTAACATCGATGTCAAACATCGATGTTTGCCTAAGCATCGATGCTAAATTTCGATGTCGCATTTCACATCGATGTTTGATCGATGCCCATTGGAACATCGATGTTCAATCAAGATAAATTCAAACAATTTAAAAAAAAAAAACAAAACCAGGTTTGTTCGAACAGAAGCTCCTGACGCAATGTCATTTTACAATGCGAAGAATAACGTGCATGCCGGTTCTAAATCAGTTACAGTTAGGGACTAGGGACTTGCGTAGGAGTAACGTAAGTACTGTAACGTAAATTAAGAAAGAACAGGTACAGATAACTTAGCTCTATTTGATACGTGTACGATCGTAAATGCAAGAAAAAGTCGACAGGGTTTTTTTTTACTATTTCCGCCCTGTGGGCATTAAGAGGGCCTTTTATAGCAGACCCATTATGGGTTCGGCCAGACCCACAATAGGGCGACCGGGTGGTGAGGGACCGGGCCCGACATATCCGAACAGACCACCCCCGAAAAATTCCTGGGGATTCCTTGACCCGTCCGGATTCGATCCCGGGTCCCCCAGAGCGGTAGGCTGCCGCCTTGACCGTTCGGCCATCCAGCCTCAAAGTCGACAGGTTGCGCGCCACAAGTCGGCGTAAACAGACTAACATGGCAGAGTTGCGGATGAGTTTCAATGAGTGAGTTCATTCACTGTTAAAATAGTGTAAATTTGTAAACATATTTGCAAGAACTTTGTTTCATCGCAATTTCACAATTTCTACGAAATTCCCGGACTGTCCGGGTGAAAACCGAACAGGTGGTAACACTAGGAACAAAGAATGAACTGCATGCATCGATGAATCAAAATTCGCATATTGCTAACATCGATTCAGGACGATGTTACAAAAACATCGAAAGGTCGATGCATCGACGAACAAAAACATCGATGTGTCGATGTCACATCGATGCATCGCACAGCACTACCCACTACGCTACGCTACTGCTCGCATGAGTTTGAATTTAGTTCGCTGATGCGAAATAAGTAACGAACGCTTCAAAAAGTAAATTTGAATCTGAAAGTCTCAAATAATATATACAACGTGGATCAAACATAATTAAATATCGTTTTACAATATATAAATAACAATAATATGAAAAGATGATCGACGAGAGTTCCATCAGTTACGTCATTGATTTTGTAATACCGCCATTGTTTTAAAATAGAAAATCTCTACCTTAAGGAAAATATTGTTACCAATCAATATATATTTATTTATTTCAATCACAGATAATAAAATAATATGAAGTTATTTCTATACATAAAAATATTTTAAATTTTAACAACGACAGTGCGAGTGAAAGTATTGACAGGTGTCGTGTGTTGGCTCTCAAATGTTAACATGTTTTGTAAGTTATCGTTGTAAGTGTTTATTCGTGAAAGATATGAATGGCAGAAATATGTTGCGTGTTTATAGGAGATATTTTGGAAATTAATCGAGCGTTGTCACTGTAAATGTTATCTATTTATAGTTATGTTTTCTGATGGTTTAAGTAAGATTAAATTGATTCTTATGTATTTAATACAATATAAAGGTAACATAATTAACAAGTATTTTCCATTTAAATAATTTTACTTAAATCAGTATTGAAAGAGTAAAGCATCTGTAAAACTCAGTAATTTTGCTGCCATATGAATTTTTAAAATATGTTTTGATTTTTACATTTGTCATTTACAGATATCATCTAAGCATGAAATAGTTATTGTTGAGATGTGAGTAAAACTAATCATAAATATATTTTGATTTTCAGAAATTGTATACTTTTATCATAATAAATAAATAATTCCTAGATTAATGAAGATTATAGATTGTTTCCTAAAATACAGATAATCTATTCATATAATTTTAATTTTTAGATACTTTTTATATATATTTGTTTTTTAATTAAAATACTTTAAATATTACAAAATATCTGAAGATGTTTTAATATTAAGAAACAAAAGTATTTAAAATGCTTATAAGTGAACTGATTCACATCAAATAAGTAGTAATATATAAAATTTATTAATAGTTTTAAATACTAACATTTCTGTTAGTATTTAAAAGTAAATATCTTGCATTTCATTACACATTTAATATTTCAACTTTACAAATACACCACTACAATACCTTGATCCAGTCCAGCAATCTTCATCTAATTTTAGAGTAATAATTGCTTGCATTTCTACTTTACCTAAATACTATACATTTTATATTTATATTGTTTAAAANAAATTCGTTACTTTCTAGCAAAGAATCTGAGTACTTTGCGATACTTCTACTGAACGTCTCATACATTTTTTTCATATTTTATATGTTTTATATATTATATTATATATTATATATAATATATGTATATTTAGGTAGAAGTGCATCTAGGTAGCTTTAATGGCAGTGGTTCCAAGACTATGGTGTTTAATTATTTAGCCCATGTGACTATGCTGGCTTTGAGTAGCCCACTTGACTGTTCGTGGAGTACTTGATGTTATATACTTTTAGGGGTGTGGGGGTTGCCCCCATTCGGGCACTGAGGGGCACATCCACATGTGAAGCATGTAGAATAGGCAATAGACTGTAAGTATTAAAAACTGACCTTCATGCCATAGGGCTACTTAAGTGCACTTTTACCTATATTCATTTCTTTAATGTATATTTGTAATATATATTTTGTACAGAATTTTTTAAAAATAGAAATATTAAGCAAATAAATTACCTAAATTTAATTTATTCTTTATATATTTTTTAATATTTATATACATATTTCCATCAATTGTTAAAAATAAGATGCAGTTTTCACAAGTTCTAAAAATACAGTTGACTCTCATAAAGTTGAATTTTATTTTCACCTAATTTAACTCCCATAAGCTCAATGTTTTTTATATACTTACAAGTCAAAATAGTTTTGAGGATGTTTTGATTAATCAAAATTTAGGAATCCAGTAAATATATCGTGTGCTTTCTGTTGCAATTCAAGGGATTTTAGAATCCCATTAAGACAAACTTGAAATAGAATCAAACATTTAATTATGTACAGTACATTGGAAAAAATATACAAAGTAACTTGACATGTCAGTGTCTTTGAAGCCACAAAAGAAAAATATAAAAAATATACAGGTATTTTATGCATAAAGGGATGACTATATTCTTAAACACAAATTAAATGTTACAGATACTAATTTTCTTTAAATCTCCTAAAAGATACATATGTGAAACAAGATGTTTTCAATTGCCTTGAAAACATCTTGTTTCACAATATTGTCCAGCTGAAAATAATTGAGTTTCAACATCAAGCTTATGTGACAAACTTCTTTTACCAATATTAAATATTTTGCAATTTATGTATTTGTAAATGTAAGAAATAAAAACATAACATATTTAAGTCTACTACATTGTTTGTATTATGATTTATTTACAGTAATGATAAATATTCCTAACTTAAAAATTTTTTCTATTCCTTCCAGTTTAAATTATTGAAAGTCAACTGTGTTAATCTCATTTTAAACAGATATTACACTAAAAGTTAAAAAAATTAAAAGTTAAAATCATATTCCTCAGAAAAAATAATTACTAAAATCATCATTAAACACCTTTGGCTGCTTTTCATCCCATTTTACCACAGAGCTTTCAGCTTGTGACATTTTGGCTAGTACTGTATTGCAGAAGCCTTTTTCAGGCTATATTGATGTTAAATCTATTAAAAAAGAGATGTTGCAGAAACAAGTAATTGATTGTAATGGAAAGAATATGTTAGAAAATGACAATTGATAAACTTAGTCCTGTGAATGTACTCTGTACTGATGAGGATCGAAAGATTGAAATGCATATACAGTCGACCCCCCTATAATTACGATTCCTATAAAACTACGAAAAAATATACGTATTTTGGAAATGTTGAGTCGGATTAGTGTAGAATCGATTAATTTTATGGAAGAAAACCTTTCAATCAGCCGTATTCCGTAAACTTGACACGTGTCGGGCTGTGATTGGAACGACTTGTAAGAAATCGGATTCCTAATAAATTGGAACGTATCTATATCTTATAGGGGGGTCGACTGTACAAGAAAAATAAAGAAAATAACAAACAGTATTTTAAAGTATTTTTTAACATCAGTTTATTGTTTTTAACATTTCACCTCAGATTAGCAAAAGAGATAGCTAAGATCCTATTGAAGTTTTATCAAATTTTATATACTTTTAATATAATTTTAATTATATTGATGTTCTTTGTCTAACTCCCAAGTTTCTTTTGGTAACTCAATAGAATTCTTCTTAATTCCTAATTGCATGTTTCTATGGGTATTTTGTATGTACTTGCTTTTTCCTCTTTCTTTAACTTATCTTTGTCATTCCTCAATATACTTTAAATATTTGAAACTATTTTGAACATTATTTTAGTGCTTTTATGTTCTGCCATTTTTTTTCAAATGTTCCTATTCTTATTAAATGTAAACTTTATGATTGTATTGAGTCTTTGCACTGCTTCCTTCTGAAAACATCAGTGTATAGCAAATAAATGTGTCTCAGTAGCCAAAGGTGTTTAGTGATGATTTTAATAATTAAAAAATTAAATTCATATAATATTATAATCATTTAATAATTCTATTTTAAAAAAGTCTTACTGTATATATTTGTGATGGAATTTTATTTAGTTATGTTTAAACTGAAATTAATTGCATATTAATATTTTATGATTAACAAAAAGTGTATTAAGTTATGTAATATTTTGTATTGTCATCAATGTTCTCCCCATGAAAAACTTTATATGATTGACCTGCAATGTTAGCTGACTGCTGCTGCAAATTTTCTTACAAATCTCAGTTATTGACAACAAAACATTATAAACAATACCATAATGCATGTTAGTCCATAGTCCAGTTTTGCTGTAAAAAGTAAATAAATAAAAATATTTTTTAACTGATCAGCAGAAATATTTAATTGGTTTATTTGACTACCTAAAGCAAGCTTAGAGAGAACTATGATTATGTGTTAACATAAAATGTCAAAAATTGTTTTTAAAGATGTTTATTTTTACAATTTATTAAATTACATAATGTATGTATTATCTATATATATAAAAATGGACGTGTGTGTCCCTATATTTCACTTTTTAGCCAAAACTACACATCGCACATGAATGGTGTTTGTATGTGGTAGTAGCCCCAAGTCTCCATTCCTGCACTATGGTGGTTGCGTCTCGATAGCTATAAGGGTGCGGGAGATATGGGGTTGAAAGTGGTTGACTTCGAAGATGTGTAACAATGGAAGTGTTAACAATAGAAGTGTTAACAGTGGAAGTGTTAAGAATGGAAATGTTAACAATGGAAGTGTTGAGTAACAAAGGAAGTGTTAATATAAAGCGGCATGCAAGATTTACTGGTGGTTTTTTGCGTTTTTGCGGGTCCTTGCAGATAGATTCTAGATTACTTAGAAAAACAGTCTTTTATATATAATAAAACTATATTACATACAAATAAAAACCCAGCGAAGCGGATCCTTGCAGCTAGTATTTAATAAAACCAAGAGCCTAATTACAAGTATTTTCTAGTGTTTTGACTCATAACCAGGCTATTTACATAGCAGAAATTTCAAATATTACAAGGTAGAATTTTAGAAAGTTTTAAACATAAAACATAAACTCATTGTCTTTTAAGAATGCCAAACTGGTGAACAGACAAACCACATTGGTTAATGTCATATAGGTCTACTAAATAAATCTATCAAAACAAAATTTTTTAAAACCAAACAAAATAAATTATTACAGATGTTAAAATTAATCTTAATAATTTTTATTTTTTGTAAGTGATGTTTTAACCTAAACTTTAATATTTGTCAGTATTTCTATGATAAGTCTATGCTTAAGATATGCAATTTCATTTCTGTAGCTATAAAACAATCATTTCAATATTTTTCTTTTTTATAACTCATTTTGTTGCTACCTATAAGGCATTGTTTCTTAACCTTTTTCTCATCATGAACTGATAAAATCATGGATAATTTTACACAGATAGAAATTATATGTGACTATGAATCATTCTTATATATGCTTATCTAGAGTTTCTGTATGTAACAAAAGTATGTACAGTACAGTAGCTCTAGATTACTAATCAAATGTGCCTGTAATCAAATGTGCCAGAGTCAGTACAATCAAATATTTTTCAGCAGACAGGCTAAATTTTTTTGCAAACCATCACCAATCTATGGACCAATAGTTAGGAAATACTTCTCTAAGGCATCTAAGCTGTGTGCCTTTATTAACAGATGGTTCATCTGCTCTTGAGTTTGGCATTCTTAAAAGATTTTAGAATAAATTTAGATTTAAAACTTTTTAAAGTTCTAATTTATAATTTTATACTATAAATAAACACTTCTGATAATGAGTTAAGGACTTAAAAATATATATAATTTGTAATTAATTAGGTTCTGTAATAAAGCAAAATTTCCTTGGTTTTAAAATTGGAGATTAGTCTTAAGTACTCAATAAATTTTAGTGTATTTTTTATGTTATGTTTGTCATTCTAGGATCTACAATGAACTGAAAAACCAGTGATTGTAACAAGATTCAATCTAGGGATGCTTTTGTGATGTTCTAGAGACATAAGCACTGTGCTACTGATTCCTTTATTACAGTAATGTATTGCATGTTTTTGCTTTTTATTTGTGTTCAAAACATATTGTTATAGACACTTAAAATTGTATAAAATTATTTTTTATTGAGTAATGAGAAATTTCCCTTTCTTATCTCATTCCTGCAGTTTGTCAGTATTATAACTACACAAAACTTTCACAATCTCTAAGACTACATATTTTGTTTATAAAGTTGTACTTTATTTTGCACCTCATTTGTAGGATTTGATATCTAAAATATTAATCTGAATGACTTATTTTTATGAATAAACTTTAACTTTCTTGGTAAATCATTTTTATAATTTTTGTTGATTATGTTTTTGTTCTGTAATATGTAAAGAGATGAACATAAACAAAGTTATGAACTTGGAGTTTCCTTTAAACTTTTTCTTCATTCAGAATAAATAAAAACAATAAACTCTCATTTATTGACCAATATTTGCTTAACAACCAGCTGTAGGAACGAAACTTGGTCATTAAGTGAGGAGTTGCTATAGTGTAACATTAAAATCCATAAATTTCACAACAGGTTGGTGTGTTACCATCTGTTAAAAAGTTTACTAATTAAACAAACCTATAATTTTAATTAAATTAGAATTGTTTGGAAAAGAACTTAGAGTAGCTCCCATGTACTGTACACTACCTAGCAGGTATGTTATTAATTTCAATTTCTTTTTATTTCTATATTCATTAACTTTTTATTTCACAATCTTTTGACATTATGAAAATATTCTTACAATATGTATACATCAATATTCATTGTTACTGTACTTTATTTTTGCAGTTTAAACAGTTTTATATAATACTATTTTTTAAGCTTCATAATGATTTATTACTTAAAATCATAGCTTATATGATGTCATAACACTTCATTATCAAAGTAAATCAAATACTGAAAATAAAATGGAATATATAAAACTTTGAAAAGCCAATTGTCAAAAAAGCCAAAATTAAGTTATGACTTCAATATTTAATTATAATATGGTTTATAAATTACTTTATTAATTGGAACAATTTGATAATTTTTGATACTACAGATAGATGGAATTTTCATCTATTAATGATTGTAACAATTATATAAATTTTTATAATTAAATTAATTTGGAAAATTTGAAAAAGAATAACAGAGCAGTACTCAAATTCACAATTCTTATGTATCTATGTATATTACCAATTATACCATCTAAACAACAAGAAAATTAAATTATTTTCAAATTACTGTAAGTTATTTTAGTATCTTTTGGAGTCTACACTCAAAATAAATAGTCTCTGATAAGTATAGCAATAAATAAATACTAAAGTTATATAATTATAATTCAGAATTTAAATTGTCTGGAAGGGATTCATGTTTAAATACAGTCAACCCCCCCTATAACACGGGTTCCTATAGTCTGGATTCCTATATGACAGCGAAAAAATTGCGACGGTATCCGTACAAACATGGTAAAAAACTCCTATAATTCGGTAAAACGTCATCGGGCAGCTGAACTACTTTCCGCCGTCCAGCGCCACGCTACAGAGAGTTTAGGCGGGTAAATTGAGTTTACTATTGTCTGTACAGTATGTAAATTAGGTACCGTAAGTCTAATACAGCACTAATTTTATACATTTCTTGTGAAAGAAACATTTCTTATTCAACGGCCATAAAAATTATTTATATTAATGATGTCTCCAAAGTTCAACGAAGTTTTCGCAGAAAAATAACTTATCAGAAATCGCGGCCGCCATTCTATGCGCTGCTCCGCGACGAAAACAAGCTTAAGCAATGGCGATGTCGAACGGTGCACACTCGGTAAGTAATCCTACAATTTTTTGTTTATAGCATCGTTTATATGGATTATTCCCAAAAAAATGTACGTATTTTGTAAATGTTGAGTCGAATTAGTCTAGGAATCGATTAATTTTATGGAAGAAAACCTTTCAAACAGCCGTAGTCCATAAACTTCACACGTGTCGGGCTGTGATTGGCAAGGTCTCCTAAAACATCAATTTCATAAAAAACGGAACGTATCTACCGTGTTATAGGGGGGTCAACTGTAGTATCATTTACTGGTAATTTAAATGGTATATATGAACTTTGCAACACATTTTTCTACGTGAAGAAATTATGGATTTAAGCTTTGGTCTTCCTTTTTTATTTTTTTCAGATTTACTAAATTAATATAAATATAAAAATTTGTCTAATTATGAAATTCACTAACAGATGCAACATCATTTTATCTATAGCTTCAAATTATTTTTTTAAATATCAAACTAATCTGTTAATCAATTTATAAATAAAAATAAATCCTAACTAATAATTGTAATTTATTACTTAATGTTTCATATGAACTTAAATAGGTGTTTCAAAAAATGAAAATACATGAAACTTTGCACCAAGTTACGAATTATCAGGATTAAAATGCTATTTTCAGATAATCAATATATTATTTATTTTAATTAATTAAAATGCCTCAATGTCCTTTTCTTATTAAATTATAAATTTTCGTCTATAAACAAGCATTCACTATTTTCAGGACTTATTATACTGGCTTTTTTTAATATTTAATATACCTTACAGGTATATTAAATATTAAAAAAAAAAATGGTTTTCTGTGAAATTCTGTATTGTCTGTTAAGCCAGTATAATAAGACCTGAAAATAGTGAATGCTTGTTTATAGACGAAAATTTATAATTTATTATTTATTTATGTAGAAATGCTTTGTCATTTGCATGGCCATCTTCAACTAATCACAAATTCAAATAAATTACACAAGATCTAACTTTGAATTTTAATTTCAAACTTCTGTAAAATAAATAATTTGATTACTTGAAAATAGCAATTTAAAAATGTTTATTTGTATGTTTAGCTAATTCTTTCTTAAACACATTTAAATTTATTTGAAATAATCAGCAATATTTGATTAAACTACATTACTAAATATCATTTTATTTAGACTTTAATATAAATAAAAATAATACTTAGTAAAAACAAATTTGAAGCGTTATCTTAATATTTTTAAATTATAAAATGATATTTTTTTGAATCAGTATATAATCTATCTTCAGAAGATAATCAATACTTTAAACTCTTTAAAAGTATCTAAAATAGATTATATACTGAGTCAAAAAGCATTATTAATTAAATCAAATACTTGAAAAGTAAAGGATGTGAATGAATTTTTGTTTTTCTTCAATAAAAATAGAAGATATTTTTGATATAAAATATATTTATTTACTTGTTAAAATTATTTAACCACATTAACATATTTCTTATGCTAAATTCTTTCATGTGGTTAAAGGACTTGTAATGTCTTGAAAGAGCTTGATATTTATTTTTTACTTTTAATTATAATTTATAAAAGAAAAAGTTATTAACAATCTACAGACAGATTACACATATGATTATCTTGAAAGCTTCAGAACATTTTAACTTGTGCAGAAGAATTAGAATAAAATATGTTATATGTGAGTGTTAATAATGCATGTTTTATGAACAAAAATATCATACACTTATGGATTTTATATCTTTTATTCTACACAGTTATGAAATAGGAGCAAGTTTTCAGAATAATTAATTTACAAATTAACTGATATTTGAAAGAATAAATTCTTTTTACTTTTTGTTTGATTATTTTGTAGCAAAACAATAGCTTATTTTTGCATATTCATAACATGTTTTTATTTTGACATAATATATACATTATAGATATAATGAATTTTATCATCTTGAAATTGTTTCATATCTTCAAAAATAATTTATCTATTGTCAGGAAATGTTAAATTACTGTTTCAAAAAAATTTGTCCAAGTTATGTGAAATCTGAGTTATTAGAGGTTTACTGTATGTATTAAAAACAGTCAGGGTTGTTTACTTTATTTGCTTGAGATTGCTGTTTACATTTTACTGAGTTATATTTGTCAGTTTTGTTTTTGTTTTTAATTGTGATTTATATTATTGTTGTTATTGTTTTTCTAATAAATATAATAATATATCATCATAAATTTATATTTTCTTAACTGGAAAAAATTTTCAGTTTTTTCTAGAATATAGAAATTAATTAACTCATTCAAAGCTATGTTATTTTAATTATTGGCTTAAAACAATAAGAAATTATATGTTATTGATTTGAATACAATTTAAGTAAAATCTTATATTCAAATCAATAAATTGCACAATCAATGTATGATTTTTATAATTTTTTATTTGAAAAGTTAATTTTTAATTTATTTATTAAAAGTTATTTATATAATATGAAATGCTTTTTAAAATTCTTGTTAATTTTAACTCACTATGACGTTTTTAGTTTTCTGTTTAACATTAATGATATAGATGAAGTTAAAATAACCTAATTTTTAGTGAGAATTTTACATTCTCACTAAAAATTATTTCAGGTTCACTAATAATAATCTAGAACAGTGATGTCCAAACTTTTCAATTGGCCAGACAAATTGTGCATAAGTTGTATGTAGGTAAGCCACAAAATTTCTGTATATTCCAGATGTATATCCCTCTTTCTATCATTTGTAAGTGATGTGTCAAATATGTTTGCAGGTTAGATTAATGTGTACCACAGGCCAGATTTGACCTAGAAACCATAGTTTGGGAACCACTGATTTAGAATATTTTTGAATATCTAAATGGCTAATATGTAAATAGTTATATAAAATATTTAAATATAGATATTTGATATTTTACAATAATTCAGAAATTTAGTTATCATATATTTCAGCAGATAAGACAACCTTCAGATAAAATGAGGTATAAATTTTCATCAAAGTTTTATAGTTTTAGCATATATTTGTCCTATAAGACGACCCCAAACTATCAATGGCCTATGAATTTAGTTTAAATCAGTGATCGTCATCTGGATAATAATACTGTATAGCATATACAGAATTATGTTCTATTCGTAATTTTTTGAATGAACAACTTTTATTTTCTTGCATCTGGCATAACTGCCTTGCAATTGTTGCAAACATTTGCACTGATTCGGGCATTCTGGTAATTACCTTGACTATTCACAAAAACATCATATGGGCAATTCTATTTTGTGGACATACCCTACTCTCTACTAGTAAATAATTACAGTTTGTTCATTTTTTTATAATGGTTTTAATTTATATAAATTTCAATCTGATTTTTTTTTTGTATCTGTCCTATAAGATGACCCCGGATTTTTGGGTTCTTTTTTTATGATTCAACTGTCGTCTTATCTGCGGAAATATATGGTATATAAAGGAAATAACTTTTTGACAAAGTTGCATACAACAAATATATGAATGATGGAAACAAGTAATGGAGTAAAGAAGCATCTGATTACTTCCTTCTTTGAAGATGGCATTTTTTCCTAAATTTTTTTAAATGCCTAAAGTAAGAATGCACTCAATAAATGAAACTAGTGTTATTTAATGAAAAATTAAACACCTTCTCTCGCTGAGAAATGTTTATTTAATAAAACACTAACGTTTTCAGCCTTGTGGAATAACGTTCGAACATTCCATCGTTAAAGTTTTAAAATACGTTCAAACTCATTACACCTGAGGATGGCCTATTCCATGAGGCTGAAAACGTTAGTGTTTTATTAAATAAACATTCTCAGCAATAGAAGGTGTTTAATGTTTCATTAAGTGTTTTAAAAATGCTCAGTTTGATATTTAGTTGCTTGTCTTATTATTGAAAAGTGACCAAGATCAAAGTTAACATTACACAATTTAATTATTTAGAAAAATAGAAATGCAAATAATTCATAAGAGATCTTTTCTGACTTATGTTGTTAGTTTCTAAGAAATAGGAAGTAATATATTGTTAAAATAATTTAAGGGGAAAAAATATGAGAATGGCAAAACTGAACTAAGATCTAGTGGAGAGAAGATTCAATATTGTAACATGTTGAAAAAAATCTTTAGATTACATAATTTTGAATAGAATGTAATGAAAAGGGATCTACAAAAATAAAATTACTATCATTTTTACTCTGATATATCTGTCTCTATAAAGAATGTTTTAAAAAATTTATTAATTAAATGAAGTTTATCATACTACTATAATAATGAATTATTAATGCTTAAAATCTTTATCTCTACATATTGATATTATATGTATTATAGAATTTTGTATAATTATCTTCAATTTATATAAATATTGAAGATAAATTTAATTCTAAAGTGACTTATGAACATATTTGAAAATAATGTGCACAAACACTGAACATTTTTTTCAGCAAATTAATTTTCCAATGAAATGGCATTAATTATAAGAATTGAAATTCCTATCATATTTTTGTTATAAAGTTTATTGAGAAGAGCTTTCAGAAAATAATTTATGAATTAAAATAAACTAATACATAATTTTTGAATAAATGTTTTATTGATATATGTGGTGTATATATTTTGTTTATGAACAAAATCATGTAACATTTAATGTGTAGCCAAGAAATCAAAAGTTTTAATTAAAGGAACTAAATATTTAAATTAAAGCTAAAATTTGTTTGTTTTTCAAATTTCTATAAAATTGTTATTTTAGTTTACAATTACTACTATTTCACTCTTGCAATTATTAAGAAATATTTGAATATTTTAGGAGATGGAACTATAAAGAAAATTCAGAAGAAGAAACGATATTCACCAATATGTCCAGTGTGTCTAAAACTGTTTTGTACTCAACAAGCCCTCAATATACATATGAACAGTCATCGTGCTGTCAAATTAAAATATCGATGTGACATCTGTGATAGAACTTACACCTGCCTAACTAGTCTTTCTCGACATAAGAAGATTCACGAAGGTTCTTATCGACATGCCTGTCATCTGTGTTCAAAAAAATTCATTTATTTGTCTGCTTTACAAACACATTTAAAAACAAATCATACATAATTGAATATCACATATATTGAAAAATTTTAATATTTATTCAATTTAAACTTGTAATTACAAAATTGTTGATTTTAAATAAATAGAGAGTTAAATTTCTCTGTTTTATTAATTGTATGAACGCACAAACTTGCATATTTTTTTAATGTTCTAGTTTTTAATTTTTTTTCTTTAATTTCATTATTAATTTTTAAAAATTTAAATGAACTATCAGATTTGAAAATTTAGTATGGTGAATAATAATTTTTCATTCAATATATATCTATGTTTTATTAATGTTTGTTTTCTTTGTAAGCAAAAATTTAGTCAGTCTTTTACCTAATATTAAATATCTATAACAATTTTAGTTGTAAGTTATTTTAAATCTTAATTATAAATTGTAATTGATTATAATTTAGATATTGTTAATGAATAGTTAGAGATTGTTGTTTTAGCTTTAAAGATATATTCATTTAATGTTTATATCTGTTGTTATATATATTATTAAAATAATATTATATATAAGAAACATTGATGTAAATTAAGAATTTCATAAATAAAGTAGAAGTGTTTTTAAATTCAAAGAATTTGGCTTTAGAAACTATACAGAACTTTGATGTGGATCGATTATTTCTTAATTTTTCATGTAGAATGAAAATATTCAGTTTTAAATTTTCATGTAGTAGGAATTCTTCTGTATAGATAGTGAATTCTGATATTGAGAGTTTCTCCTAATTTTTAAAATGTTTCATATCTGAAATATTTAAAAATTTATATATATATATGTTTAGAAGTAAAGGAATAGCTACTTTTTATATTTTCAAAATAAAATTCAAATTTGTTTTTCATTATATATCACTTTTATATAATTTAAAATTTAGGAATTTTGAAAAAACGATAAAAAAATATTATTTTCATAAGTAATAATTTTTACAATTTATTATTATTCATATTTTAAACAGTAGTTTAAAGGCTAAATTTTGTAATTTATTATTTATTTTATATATACTGTATATATATACACACATACATCCTTCAGTCAGTAAGTTCTGAGACAGAGGTTGTAAGAAATTATTGATTGGAGGAAAAGAGAATTGCATAATACCACCTTTACCATCTTCTAAATACTCTCCTTCTGCAGCTTTCAGATGTGAAATGTTTTATACAAAATGTTGACATATTCTGAAATGATTTTGTGACACTGTTTGACAAAAGCAACCAGAGTTGTGGTCTTCAAAAAATTTGTAACTGCATCATGTTAATAAGTCAGCACATTGATCCATTCTGGTCATGGAGTAATTGTCTGGGAATAATGTGTTCTTGTCTTCTGACACCATACTCTCCAGACCTAGTGCTTGAAAACTTCTATTTTTTCTCCAGGATGAAGAAAGGACTGAAAGGTGGACATTTCACATTATCTTTCAAGGGTTCAAGCAGCCACAATGCTAGCTCTCAAAATGGTTGCAAAAAATGAGTTTGCTGACTGCTTCCAGCAGTGGCACAAACATTGGCAGAAGTGCATCTATATAGAAGAGAAGTACTTCGAAGATGATATTGTGTAACTTTCTTTGTCCAATAACTAATGTCTTAAATTAAATCCAATTAACTAATGTCTTACAACCTTACTCTCAGAAGTTATTGACTGAAGGAAGTATATAAAAGACATTTTAAATGTAAATAGATTTTAAAATAAATAAATAAGCTTAACAGTCTAAGCATCTATGATGATTATAAATTCTGAATGAAAAATGAAATTTCATACAATTTTAGTTAAGAAAACTTTTAGTACTTTATAATATATTGGAAATAGTATATTTTATATCACCATAACAATGATAGTGTATAAATGATGATATTTAATGAGCATCATCATATGATAAAAATATATAAAATGTAATAATAAATAAATGTTTTTATAGGTTCAATTGGAACATTTAAATCAATTGATAAAGCCAAGAAGAAATCAACTCAGTGTCATATATGTAGGAAAGTATTTTCTACTCAAAGTAACTTGACAACTCATCTTAGCTGTCATCGTGCTGTGAAAGACAAACATAGATGCAAAATTTGTGGACAAGCATATACCTGGTTAACGAATCTTTATCGTCATATGAAAATTCATGAAGAATTTTATCATCATGTTTGTTATCTGTGTTCAGAAAAATTTATATCCTTAGTCGCTTTAAGAAGACATCAAGCAAGAAAACATCCTGGTGTTCCCACGTGAAAGTTTCATAGGAAACCAGTTTTAATTTTAAACAATGTAATTTATAAAATTCTTGTACAGTATTATAAACTTTTATAAAGAACTTTCAAATTCTTGCAGTATGTATATATTGTAAAAAAAATTCAAAGATCTCAATATTTTTTCTATTTTTTAGAACGTCAAATAATCAGATCTGTATATAACAGACAGCTTTTAAGATATTAATAATCATGAATATGATTCATGAAAAAATAGTTTCTACTATTTTTATGATTTAAAACTTTTATATTTAATTGTAGTTGTATTTTTTCACAATAAATCGGAATTTTTCAGCAATGTACGACTATTATTATTATTATTATATATATATATATAAATTTAATTTTTTAGTAGTAGTAATGAAAATTCTGGGTCTCATAATTATTTCGAAGATATGCATTACACATTAAATGTGTCATGTTTCATTTTAGTGTATTTTCAGAGAGCTTGTTAAAAAACGAAGTTTAATCCAATTTTCCAACATACAATATTTACATAATTTTTAATGATGATAGTATTGATTATGATTTCAAGTCGAGGCAGCTAGACGATGACGTCTGTGGACAGAAGGGTCTACGTAGGGAGTAATAGGGCTTAAGCCCTGGGCCCACAAAAAATTAAATTATCATAAATTTTTAATACTTTTTGGCCAAAGTATACCTAGGTAACCCCAATGGCGGCGCTTCCGATTGTTCGTGGTCCCGACGGAGGAGTCCGTCGGGACCACGAGGGGAGCCGCTGAGTGTCTGACGTCACTAGTTATTGATTCACGTAGTTCTTGAACAAAAAATAAAAAAGGAAATGTCTACTGAAACTATAGTTAACCTAACCTAACCGAAGCGCCGTCACTGGGGATAATTACCTAGGTATACTTTAACCTACTTTTTCATTAACAATGAGCACATAGTAAACGTGGGAAAAAAGATGTCTTTTTATCTAAATTATAAAATTTACTTATATTTACGTAAAATATTGACAATTTTCTTCTGATGAAATGTTTTTTGATATAATTAATTTTTTCATTATGGATAATACTGTAAATAATACATTAGTTACAATTGCTGATGTTCCTTTATTACCCTTTCTGTACTATTTATGTATTAATTAAACATAGTTTCCTAGATTATAGCATCATAATGTGTATAAAAAGTGAAAATTGTGATAATTTGTAAACGCAGATACTCTCACAAAAAGCATACTGTACACTCTTTTATATTTCACATCAGTTATTCACAAGTGAATTTTCCTAAATAAACCTATTTAATTCATAATTTATTTGACAGAAAGAAATGTTTAACTCGTATTTCACATATCTAATATTCGTGTCATGATATTACTTCAAATAGCTGAAAAATATAGATTTCTAATATCGACATATATGAATATTTTTATCAGTAGCGTGCCGTGACATTTGATGATAGGGAAGCTGATTTCCAGGGGCAATCAGTTAATTCTTTCTTTAAATGTATTTTTAATAGATTATTTATCTGACGTACTTAATAAATAAACAAGTTCAATATAATTACCTTTGTTATTAGATCCAATATATTCCATATGCCCTCTAAATGCCAATTCTCGCTTTGATAAAAACATATAACATCTATTTATTTAGATATAATATATCTATTAACCGTAACTATCTCGTCATAATTTTCAATATTTACTTTATATTATTTATTAATGTTAAATTCTATTCCGCTTCAATTTCCAAATTGCTTCAAATACGAAAGAATCGATGAATTTTCGTGTCTTTCGCCAGCTAAATTGTCAAAGCCATTCTTATTCCACACACTAATTTCATTAGAAAATAGTAGGCAAAGCCAACGAAACAATTTTTGCATTTTTATGCATTTACAGAGCCATTTTATCGTGAAAATGTCGAACAAATTTTTTTATTGAAGCGTTTATATTTAACTTAGGCATTGGCCTTTCTCTTTTAACTCCTTAAGTCTCGAGCAATTTTTGATATTAATGTAATTAAACATAAAAAATACTTAAAACTGAAAAAAACGAAAGAAATGCGTTAATTTTGAAGAAAAAGCTTCAAATTTTATTTTCCTTTGTCTCGTCTTTCTGTGAAATTTGACACTGACCAGTCATTGTTTACACAGCTGGATGACTTTGAGAACAGCTGGTGTCGTATTTCCCGGGACATTCTCAAACGTCTCGGGAGAGAAGGGTTTAAAGTAGGGTGAATACTAACTAGACCTGTATTTTTAAATATTTTTTAAAAATTAAAATTTTTATTGAGATTTCCGAGCCCCCCGACTTAAAATGCCAAAATATGAAATGTCTTTGCGTGAAAAATGTAATGAAATGTAATTCAAAATGTCATTCAAGCCTATCATGTTGCAACAAGTAGGTTAATTTTAATTTCTTATTTTTCATATGAAAATTTTGTTTCCTTTAATAAGAAAGGCATAAATTTTGTTTGGTACAACTTTCATTTTTCTTTACATATTTTGAATCATTTTTTAATGGCACTCTCATTATTTTTTCAGAATAACATTTGTATTTTTGAGGAATGCACGTCATTTATATAATAACCTTATCAGGACCTTTTTTTCATACTTTGCCTAAATAGCATTTGTCATTCTATAGAATGCCTAGGTATTATATACAATGCCTAGGGAAAGTATGTAATAATTCTCATATTTCATACATTGCCTAAAAACGCCGGACATTATATACAATGCCTAGGTATTCTATAGAATGCCGGCTTTTCATACTTTGCCGGAACATATACAAAAATATAGCATTTAAGAAGAATGTTTGAGTTTGAATTTTAAAAAAATCGTGAATAGTATTTATATTTACGAACTGAAAAAAATCTTTGGTTTTTCCGAAATCTGGGGAATCTATTCTCTAAAGTTTAATCTCAAACAGATATTTAAGATTATACTTTGACTTTAATTATCCATATCTTATTTATCAAAGTTAATAAAATAAAGCAATTAGTCATCCATTAAAAAAGTTTTAACATTAGAATCATGTTTTACAAATCTTGACCTTAAAAACGTCAAAATGACGGCATTAGTGGCTTTAAAAATTTTTAATTATTATAAACGTCAACGCCATGTAAGGAGTTGGGAATCGATAAGTTTTCCGCTCCTGCTCCGATTTCCATCCCTGCTGAAAACGGGCCCTGGTAAATAAATACGAACTTTACGAGCGTCTACTCTTAAGTTTTGCTGCCCGACACAGTGGCACATTATCCTATGGGCAAAAAGCGCAATTACCTGGGGTCTCTACCAACAGGGGACCCAACCTGAGTGGCGTAGAGTGGGGCCGCTGACACCCACTCTACGCCTGGGGCGGAGGAAAATTTCGCCGCCCCTTTATTTATGTATCTCAATTTAAAAGACTAAAATTCAGTTTCGTCCCAGAATAAGTAATGAAAAATTCCGTGCTCATTTCAATCGGTCCGAATCGTAGGTGCGACAAAAATATGAAATGAAATGGTTCAAATTTTTACAAGATGATATTATTTGTTGTGAAATTGTGCCGCCCCTGCCACGCTACTGTGAGATTCGGAATTTTTACCGACTATTTATCGATTTATTATCCTGTTTTTGCTTAAAATCTAATTAAATTTTCCTTTGACCTAAAGTGAAACCTAACGAAAAAAAAACTTTTCGTTTACATTAGACATAAACATCCGTTAAATTCGAAACTAATCCCACATTCCTACGCCAAAGTTGATAGTTAGCATGGTCCCGGGAACAACTCTGACCCATCTACATACCTTTTACCTCACAACAATCAATCACGTGACCATTCTCCCACGCCGAACTTATAAAAACCCCTTCCTTCCCCTTCTCGGGGGAGTCGTACCAGAGCAGGTGCCGGAAGAATACCAATTTCAAATAGTGTCCTTTTTGTCTAGTGAACTTCCCTAAATCCAGG